TTTAGGGTTTAGGGTTTAGGGTTTAGCAGTGGAGAAACTGCATCGACCTGGGTCCTTCCGCCAGCCACAAACCCTAGACCCTAAACCCTAGAACACAAACCCTAAACTCTAGTTTTTCAATGTTCAACTAGCAGTGAGCATTACAATCCAGAGGATATACAGTGAGCGCTAAACCCTAAACCCTAAACCCTCCACCTCAAACCCTAAACCCTAAACTCGGAGTGCTATGATATGTAACTTTTGCCCATTTCAATATACACTATTTTTCACTAAATTTAGCAATTCAGTGTAAACAGGACACTCCAAACCCTAAACGCTAAACCCTAAACCCTAAATCGTTGTATCGGGGGGCCCGGGGGCCCCGGGGCCCCAGGGTGCAGCTTTTCCTTAGGGTTTGCAGCAGCACATAAGAAGACTTATTTAGAAATCGTTTATAACTTAACCCTAAACCCCAAACCCTAAACCCTAAACCCTAAACCCTAGCGCTTAGGGAAATCATTCGGCGCTGCTGCTGCTCCATTCTGTCCCACCTGTCAACATGTGTAAGCGAAACCTAAACCCTAAACCCTGAACCCTAAACCCTAAACCCTAAACCCTAAACACTAGACAATATGCCGTAAGCCATAAGCGCTAGACCCTAGAATCTAAACCCTAAACCCGAAACTCTAAACCCTAGAATCTAAGAACTAAACCCTAAACCCGAAACTCTAAACCCTAGAATCTAAGAACTAAACCCTAAACCCTAAACCCTAAACCCTGATTCTGGACTGCTTCCTTTTCACTCCTGTCCTTGCAGTGTCTCACCACCAAGACCATCAGCAGCATCATATGCAGCAGCAGCAGCAGCAGCAGCAAAAGGAGCAGCAGCAGCAGCAGCAGCAGCAGCAGCAGCAATCTCTGTTGTCTTTCCCCGTCGTTCGGGTCTATCCTTATGTGCAGCGCTATGCCTGGGGTTTTGCTGCCAGCAAATCCCTTGTTGCTGCTGTTGCGCAGGCAGCAGCAGCCTGCGCCAACTACCCGCAGCAGCAGCAGCAGCAGCAGCAGCAGCAGCAGCAGGATTCCGAGCGGTTTGCAGAGCTGTGGATAGGAGACCATCCAAATGGCTGCTCTCTCGTTGCCCCTGTTGACAGCAGCTCACCAGCAGCAGCAGCAGCAGCAGCAGCAGCAGCAGCACCTGCAGCAGCAGCAGCAGCAGCAAAAGCGCCAATTTCCTTAGCAGAGTACCTGAGACGCCTCAGCCAGCAGCCCCGCCAGCGCCCGCCGCCGCAGCAACAGCAGCAGCAGCAGCAGCAGCAGCAGCAGCAGCAGCAGCGGGGCAGTGGTCTGCCATTTTTGTTTAAGGTGCTGTCTGTGTCTTCTCCGCTGTCTCTACAGTGCCACCCAGACTCTTCTTTAGCAGCAAAACTGCATCAGCAGCAGCAGCAGCAGTTTCCCGACAGCAGCCACAAACCCGAACTTGCAATTGCTGCTGCTCCTTTTGCTGCTCTCGCGGGCTTCCGAGCAGCAGCAGCAATTGGCCTGCTGCTGCAGCACAACCAGCAGCTGCAGCAGGCTTTGGGGGACCACTTCATGGCCTCGCAGGAAGCAAAAAAGCTGCTGCACTTAGCGCAGCAGCAGCAGCAGCAGCAGCAGCAGGACGAAGAGGAGGGGAGGTTAGTGAAGGCTGCCTTTGCTGCGCTGCTGCGGGCGGACGCGCACCACCAGCAGCTGCAGCAGCAGCAGCAGCAGCAGCGGCAGCAGCAGCAGCAGCAGGCCCTCAGGGCCCTCCACGAACGCCTAAAAAAAAACCCTCCGCCCCACCCCCAGCAGCAGCAGCAGCAGCAGCAGCAGCAGCAGCAGCAGCAGCAGCAGCAGCAGCAGGAAGCGGACTGGGTGGCGCTGCTGCTGCTGTCTCACTACCCAACAGACGTGGGCTGTTTTGCTGCTTACTTTTTAAATTTAATTCTTTTAAAAGAAGGAGAAGCAATTTTCATTCCCCCCAACTACATGCACTGCTACTTGCAAGGTGCCCTGCTGCTGCTGCTGCTGCTGCTGCTGCTGTTTGTGTTGCTGCTGCTGCTGCTGTTTGCGTTCCTGCTGCTGCTGCTGCTGTTTGCGTTCCTGCTGCTGCTGCTGCTGTATGCGTTCCTGCTGCTGCTGCTGCTGTATGCGTTCCTGCTGCTGCTGCTGCTGCTGTTTGCGTTCCTGCTGCTGCTGCTGCTGTTTGCATTGCTGCTGCTGCAGCTTGTGTTGCTGCAGCTGTTGCTTGTGTTGCTGCTGCTGTTGTTTGTGCTGCTGCTGCTGCTGTTCCTACTGGAGCAGCTGCTGCTCCTCATATTGGTCTTGCTGCTGCTCTTGTTGCTGCTGTTCATGTTGCTGCATCTGCTGCTGCTGCCCTTGCTGTTGCTGCTAATCTTGTTGCTGCTGTTGCCGCTGCTCCTGATGCTGCGTTTGGCCGTGTTGCTGCTGCCGCTGCTGTTGCTGCTCTACTGCTGCTCTGTTGCTGCTACTGCTGTTGCTTTGTCGCTGCTGCTGCTGTTGCTGCAGCTAGCATTATGTTAGCAGCTGCAGCAGCAGCACTGCGCTTCCCTTACTCTCACTCCTGCTGCTGCTGCTGCTGCTGCTGCTGTGGTGCCTTATTTGCTGCTCCTGCTGCTCCCTTACTAATTGCAGCCGCATGCGCCCCACGTGCTGCAGCTTCACCCCTGCTGCTGCTGCAGCTGCTGCTGCTGCTGCTGCTGTTGCTTAGGCCACTGCATAGAGCTAATGGCTGCTTCTGACAATGTCATAAGAGGGGGGTTGACTTCCAAAACCCTAAACCCTAATTTGCTGCTGCAAACCCTCGACTTCAAACCCTCGGCCCAAACCCCCGCAACAAATGTGCAGCAGCTGCTGCCGCTGGAGCAGCAGCAGCAGCTGCTGCTGCTCAAGCAGCTCTGCACCCCTCCAGACCAGCAGCAGCAGCAGCAGCAGCAGCAGCAGCAGCAGCAGCAACTGCAGCAGCAGCAGCAGCAAGGGGAGTGCCGCTTATACCACCCTCCTCTTTACAAATTTAACGAATTCTGCACAGTGAGGGTTTTGCTGCCTCCCAATGCCAAGGTGACTCCAAACCCTAAACCCTAAACCCTAATTTCTGATTGCTGAGGTCTCGACGACAAACCCTGAGCTGCACGATCAAATCATAAGAGCTGCTGAAGGTATAGAGGCATCTGCTGTTGCTGCATCTGCTGCTGCTGCATCTGCTGCTGCTGCATCCCCTGCTGCAGCATTTCCTGCTGTTGCATCTCCTGCTGCTGCATCTCATGCTGCTGCATCTCCTGCTGCCGCATCTCCTGCTGCTGCATCTGCTGCTGCATCCGCATCTGCTGCATCTGCTTCTGCTGTAGCAGCGGCTGCTGCTGCTGCTTCTGCATCTCCTGCTGCTGCTGCATCTGCTGCTGCAGCTACCACTGCTACTGCATTCTCCTTATCTGCTGCTGCTGCTTCTGCTGCTGCTGCTGCTGCTGCAGAGGTCTCTAGCGCTGCTGCATCGGACCCCAGGAGTGCTGCTGGTGCTGTCTGCGCCTTGGCCTGCCGTCATGCGCGTTAGCAGCAGCAGCAGCAGCAACAGCAACAGCAGCTGCAGCAACAGCAGCAGCAGCAGCAACACGAGGGACATGTGCGTGCCTTTGCGAGCTGGGGACATATTTTTTATTGCTGCTGAGTCGACCGTTACTTTGGTGAGTCGGAACTGCTGCTGCTGCTGCTGCTGCTGCTGTTGTTCCTGCTGCTGCTGCTGCTGCTCTTTCTGCTCCTGCCGTTGCTGCTGCTGCGCCTTTGCTGCAGCTGCAGCAGTTGTTTTGATTTCATGCTTCAGGAAACTGGAGAGAAGCAGCAAATGGGAAAAGAAGAAGAAATGCAAAGAAGCACAAACCCCATTGCCAAGCTGCTGCAGCAGCTGCAGCAGCAGCAGCAGCAGCAGCAGCAACAGCAGCAGCAGCAGCAGCAGCAGCTAAACAGCAGCAACAATTTCCTCGCCTTCCTTGTAACCGGAGGCTTGACAGCGCAAATGTTTCAGTGATGAACCAACAGCAGCTGCTGCTGCTTCGGCAGGTGCTGCTGCTGCTGCCGCTGTTGCTGCTGCTGCTGCTGCTCTTATTCCTGCTGCTGCTGCAGCCGCTTTTTTTTGCATTTTCTTTTGCAGCTCTTTCGCTGTAGATGCTTTGCATAACTCTTTTGATTTAATTATTTACTTTTTGGGTTTATTTATTTTATTTATTTTATTTGTTTTATTATTTAATTTATTTTCACTTTAATTTATTTAACTTATTTATTTGTCTTTATAATCATTTTTTGTTTCTCCCCCCTTTTCGCCGTCTCGCAGCTGGAGTGTGCGTACACCTCAAACCCTAAACCCTAAACCCCAAACCCTAAACCCTAAACCCTAAACCCTAGGGTTTTGCTGGCTTTGAGGCAAAAGAAAACAAGACACACCAACAAATTAAATAAATAAAGAAAAGAAAGTAATTAAAACAAATTAATTACTTGCCACAAATAAGCTAACTGATGGCGTGGCCATCCTTCCCGCAAACCCTAATTTAGGGTTTAGGCGGCGGTCTAAAACCCTAACCCCGGGTTTCTGTGGACTCCGCAAGCCCTAAAAAAGGGTTTGGCGAGAGCACTCGCCACGCCGCCTTTGCATTTGCGCGGCTGCGGGTCGGTGGAGGCTGTGTGCGCTTGGGGGAGCCAAACCCTAATTTAGGGTTTAGGGTTTAGGGTTTACTCGTCGTCTTCGAATGCTTCGTTGACGTCACCAGCGTCTTCCTGCTGCTGCGGGTCCGCGTCGTCGGGGTCGTCGCCCCCCTCGCCGCCGCCGCCGCCGCTGCTGCTGCTGCTGCTGCTGCTGCTGCTGCTGCTGCTGCTGCT